CTTTAGAAATATTTTGAAAGTTGCTATTGTACAGTTTCTCAAGGACAATATAAGAATGACAAACCTTCTATGTAAACGCAGCCCTGATCGAGTGGCGCCAGATAAAATATGTTAGTAAACTACATTTGTAAATAGCCATACGATAAGTAGGCAAACAAGTATATTTCCAGCACCCCTGAAATGAAAGTAAACATGTAGAAGAACACTTTGAGATGGTGTTTTGGCATGTGACATAATGGAAAATTTCTCTCAGACGGATTTAGCAGCTCCCAGAGTTATGTAAGAGCAGGACACGTTTTCACCAAATCCACTACAAGGTTCTGACAGTGGTGTATAACACTCAGAAGTACTGTTTTTTATTATTCTTTTCTCTTTGTTCATCATATGGTATTCTACAAACTAGAGAACACAGCATTTCGGAAACTTATCTGTTTCTGTCCTCTAGTGAAGGGGGAGACACCTGCTTTGTTGGGCCCCTTGGAAAGAGCTAACTCCAGTGATTGAGGTTATCTCTTTCTAAGGGACCCAACAGAGTAGTTGTACTCCCTCACCTGAGGATGGAAGTGGATCCGGATTCTGAGACATTGTGTTCTCTGGTTTTTAGAATAATGGATGAGGGACAAAGTCCAAAAACAGTAATTCTGGCCACTACAGGTAGTTATGCTGTCAATCTACTTTGGACTTAGTTCAGATCTTTTCCTTTGGATCTGAAGTCTCAGCACAATATACAAATTTATATCAACATTCTGTCATTAAATTATGTAATATAATTCTCATCTGAATCATGTTCTTGGGTGGTCATCCTTAAACATTGTTCTGTCTGCCAACTCTTTAACAGTCACCTGTACATAATTGCATCTCCATGGTGAATCTGCAATTAAGACCTTCAGCTGAGGGATGGGAGGAGGGGCAGGAGCCTTAACAGTCTCCAGACTAAGATACTGTAAGCTCATTCTGCTGGTAAACAAAAGCAAAAGGGAGAAGATGATAAAGCGGAGGAGGTGGTGACTGAAGTTCTGACTTGAGCTGAAGGAAGTGTTAATCTGCTGTGAGAAGGCCAAAGAAATGTTTGAGGCATGTGATCCAGGTGTGGAAGAAAGTTCTAAATTGAAGAGGGGCATTTCTAATGAAGCAAAATGATCTAGATTCTAGAACAGCAGTTTTCCTTTTCGGTACATATTTTTCTTTGGAGAATGCTGTTTAGACATCATTGGAGAGACCTTTTACCCCTGCATTCACAGCAGGCATCAGAAATCCCTGAAATAACCATTCCAAACAGACTGTCTAATTCTTCCAGAAATAGCCATTCCATATCACCACCAAAGGGAGTCGTGAAAGGCCCAGAATAATGAAGTTCTAATGTCAGTGATGCTGAGGAGGTAATTTAATTTCATGATGTGAAGCTAGTGAATGAAAAGCTCTTTGAATTGAGTAATCAAATGCAGGATGAAGAAGGTAATGAAACTGAGGAGATGGCAACTAAAATTTTTAACTTGAAAGCACCTACAAGGCATTAACTTATCTTGAGAAAACCAAAGAAATTTTTGAGAGATGTTAGCGCAGACCTAGATGGGATTTGGAGAAGTTATATGCTCAAAGACAAAGCGTGCAGGAGAGAGTGCAGTTGAAGGTGAAAGTGGAAATGCTGAAGTGCAATGGAACAATATAAAAGAATGCATGTTAGATACACTCAGTGATTTGGTTGGTAAAGTTGAGAAGATAGCAAGAAAACCATGGGTTACACAGGAGATGATGAGTAAAAGGGAGGAGCGAAGGAAATGGAAGAATGTCAACAATGAAGAAGGCAGGAGGAAATACAGGAGACTGAGGAATGAATTGAAAAGAGCCACAGACAGGGCCAAAAAGGAATATCTTGAGAAGATATGTAATGAGATTATAGAATTTCAAAGAACAGGACGTTATGATTTGATGTACATGAAGACAAAAGAACTAGGATGGAAAGAGAATCATGGGATTCAAAATGTTGGCATCGAAGACTCCCAGGGGAATAGAATAGTAGATCAGAGGCAAGTGCTGAAAATTTGGGAAAATTATATTTCAGAACTATATGATCGACCTAATCGGCCAGAAACCTTAGAAGTTGAACCGGAAGAAGAAGTAGATACAGACGAGAAAGGACCATATATTTTACAAAGTGAGGTGGAAAAAGCTATCAAGGAAATGAGGAAGGGAAAGGCTACAGGAGATGATGATGTACCTGGAGATGTGCTCAAGTTACTGGGAGAAGGTGGTTTGAAAACACTGACAAAACTAGCGAACACCACATATGAAATTGGAGAGTGGCCCAAGGACTTTACAGAAGTTACA